TGCAGCTTTAATTTTTTTCTTCTTGTCATAGTTCATATTTCTCGTTATTTTATTGGTGGACAGGAGATAAAAGCATGGGGTAAAGCCATCATATTAAATTAAAAGTCTATGTATATATTCTCTGTTGTTTTTGTTTGTTTGTTTTTAATCAAAGCTCCGGAAGCAAGTAATTTCTTAAATTTTCTAATTTCACAAGGCTTCTTAGGAAAAACAGTGGTTCCCAAACTTCTCTCCCCTAGTCCCTCTTAGCTGATTCTTTGGGTGTTTTCTGCCATGTCTCCAAATCACAGCCTTGTATTGCTACCTCTTGACTTTTCAGTTTGAGGCATCACCTATTGCCCTCCCACTAGGGAAGATGAAGATCTAGTCCTGCCTTATCCCCCTGCCCCCACCACACACAGGCTTGCTTTCCCTCCCCTCTCCTTCCAATATAGTTATATGTAATTTTGGTCAAATCTACATTCAGTGTTTACATTATGAAACCTATGTTTGCTGTTCAGAGTAGAGTCGTGTAGTCAACTATGATTGCCTTTTCCACTAAGCTTTGTTTTTTCTTGTTTTTTATTTTATTGTGGTAAAATACATATAACAAAAAATTTGCCATCTTAACCATTTTTAAGTGTACGATTCAGTGACACTAATTACATTCACCATGTTGTGCAGCCATCACCACTATCCATTTCCAAGATTTTCGTCATCCCAAAGAGAAACTCAGTGCCCCTTCAGCAGTAACTCCCCATCCCCCACCCACCTAGCCCCTGGTAACCACTAATAAACTTTTGCCTCTAAGCATTTGCCTGTTCTAGATATTTCATATATGTGGGATCATATAGTAGTTGTCCTTTTGAGTCTGACTTATTTCACTCAGCATAATGTTCTGCTAAATTTTCTTTCTTGGTGTTAATAATCGTTGGCTTTTTCATTAGTAATTTTCCATTTACTTGTAAGTCAACACTAAATCTCTTCCCAACCCATTCACTGCATCAAATATTCTATCACTTTCATCTTCTTGATGAAATTTCTCACTGAACTTCCTGACCTGCTACCCTTTGAAATACTCCTGATGCTCAGCTCTTATCCTGGGATCTCCCTTCACCATCGCCCTGGGGATTCCATTGGCCTCTCTTCTGTGTTAGATTCCTGTTTCTTATAGCCCATATCTTTCTCTTTCTTGGTTTACTCCCTCATTTTGGTGGAGCACAGGGAGGCTATATGGGAGAAAAGAATTTTGAGACTTTAGTTCCTGAAACTCTTTATTCTACTCTTATGCTTGACTGAGAGTTTGGTTGAATATTTTTATATATTCTTCACATTATAAATTATAGAAAAACATTTTACATCACAAAAAAAGGCAATAGTTATATGGAAAAATCAATTAATGTTTTCCTAAATGTAAACGCCTGAACTCTGAATCCCAAGGATCAGTGCCTTCTGCTTCTCTTCAAGACGTTTGAAAATACACAAGTCTTAAATTCTAAATAGATGGATTTAACAATTCTATTTCTTTTATATTTTTAAACAGGGATCCATCTGTGATGACTGTTTGGCAACCAGCTGCTGTCCTTTATGTACTCTTTGCCAACTCAAGAGAGACATCAACAGAAGGAGAGCCATGCATGCTTTCTGAAAAGCTAATGGTGAATCAATGCAAACATTCTTCCCAGAATCTGTAGCTATTTAGAAATGTAATTATGCACTTTGTAAATTATTCATTGTTTTGGATAACAACTCAGTAATAACAATTCCTTGAGTGAGTGAGGGCTCAGTATAGGTTAACAATAATAACTCTTGAAAGATAAGTAAAAAAATAATCTTTTTTTATTTATTTAGCAAATAATGTACTAAATATGTAGTACTAGACAAGACATTGCTAGCTGTTGTGAGGAACGAAAATAAGTAACCTGATCTCCTGGCCCTTAAAGTCCTTAAACTCAAACAGAGGATTGGACAAGTCCCTAATAAAGTACACAGCCTGACTAATGCCTTTAGACACAATACTATGTTATGTTCAGAGGAGGAAAATCTGCATCCTTTGAAATGCTTAAGTGAAAATTACTTGAAAAAAAAGTTATTTTCAATTCTAAAGAAGAGATGTGTATCAGGACCTCAACAGGAAATAAGTCATACTCAAATTATGATAATTCAAGGATTTAATAGAGACTACTTACAAAAATGGGGCCCTGGTGGCACAGTGGTTAAGTATTTGGCTGCTAACCAAAAGGTCGGCAGTTTGAATCCACCAGCCACAAATTGAAAACCCTATGAGGCAGTTCTAGTCTGTCCTATAGGATCGCTATGAGTCGCAATCAACTCAACAGCAATGGATTTGGTTCTGCTTTACTTACAAAGGTGTGGGTGGTAGGTGAAGGGATATGACAAGGGCTCGTGCAGTAACTTGGCTAGGAACAGCAAAGCAGTTACCACCCCTAAAGCCAGAGGGATGGAAGGAGGGAGCAGTTTCCAAAACCTCAAAGGAAGTGTTATGTAAAGAAGTTTTCCCTGAAAAGAGCAGTAACCTTTCAGTAGAGAGACATAGGCAGCCTGAGGCGACCTCATAAAAGGAGCTACAGGGAAAAAATTACCTGACCTCACTCTCTGCTGGGCTTCCCATTGGCCAAATCCACCAGGAAGGCAGAAGGCAGTGAAGCATTGCTACAGATCACAGGCCAGCCTCCTCCTAGGACAGAGAGGAGAGTGGACAAGGCTGGAAGTGGGTCAGATGAGGCAAACAGAAGAGCTCTGGCACACGATGTGATTTTAATTAATAGAAATGGAAAGTTGCTTCTAATCAGGAACACTAGGGAAATCGTAGAGAAAATACGAAAGAAAGGAAAAATAAAAACATTTTTATGAGCTTAGGTCCAACATGGATGGAACATACGGCTGAAGCAGGAAAATAATGAGAAACAAAAATTTTTAAAAACTGAATTGGGGCCTTGGCATGCAATGTGGTGAATAATAGGCTAATTATTTGGTAAGCAATGGGAAGTTACTGAAGGCTTTAAGTAAGGGAGAAACATGGATAGAGCTACGCTTTAGAAAAATTAATCTGATAACGGTATCTAGCACAGTCTGAACCGGGTGAGGCCAGAAACAAAGATGTGGAGTTCAATTGCTACAATAATTCTTATTTAAATAAATACATGAAAGGATATGGATAAAATATCTTCCCATACTTACGTAATAATGAGTCCTGACATCTGATTTTTTTTTAACCTCAGGGAAATTTTCGCACTAAATCTTTTAACAGGTTTGATGTAAAATGTCCTGGTAGTCCTGACTTCTCTCATCAGCTGGGCCCTACATTATTTACTGGCAATAAAACTTTAAATATACAAATATCTGGAATGGGAGAATCAAAAGACAAAGAACAAAGAGTAACAACGTGATTTATGTTAAAAATAGAGTACAACAAAGGGACACAGGAGCCACCTGAAAAAATTCCCAATAACCCAAACTCGAACAATTTGAGCAACAAAGTAAAGTAGTATTGAATTATAACCCAAAGCATGAAATAAATATCCTTGAGTCCTTACTGACATAAATAAATGATGAAATAAATAAATGAGGAGAATAGACACATCTCTCATACGGGAAAATTTCAAATAATTTATGGAGATACTCTGCCCTCAAGGAGTAGGAACATGAATTCTCACTGCTTAAGTGTGTGTTGTGCATAGTGACTTCCTTCCCAAGAGTACAGGAGGGAAAGGGGGGAAAAGGGTGACTTTACAGTGGAGAAACCTGACAAAACTACCTCAGCCTGGTGATCAGAGTTGACATCATCCATGATAACTCATGTTGTTACTACATACCCTTGAGATGATGTGATGAGAATGGCACTTTACCTCTGTGGTATTCCTGCAAAAAAAACCCACTAATTCCAGTCTAACCATGAGAAAAACATCACACAAACCCCAAGTGAGGTATACTCTACAAAATGCCTCACCAGCACTCCTCAAAACTTGACAGGCATTAAAAACAAGGAAAGCCTGAGAAATCGTCCCAGTTTCTTAGGACGTAAGGAAATAGACAACTAAATGTAATGTGGTATCCTGGATGGATCCTGGAACAGATAAAGGACATTCGTTAAAAACTTAAGAAATCTGTATAAAGTATGGACTTTAATTAGTAATAATGTATCAACATTGGTTCATTAGTGTGACATTAACCATAGGGGAGACCAGGAGCAGGCTATGTGAGAACTCTGTGCTATCTTTGCATCTTTTCTGTAACTCTAAAATGCTTCTGAAATTAAGTTTATAAACTAAAAAATGTATATTGATAAAATTCATACCTATGCTTTGTGTTGTCCCTTACAGGTAGAAAGCTCTTACTGAAGCAACTAAAATCAGCAGCCACCTCTTCAGCTTGAGCACTTCTCTACCTTTTGCAACTTGAAATATGATGAACAAGTTTCATCACAACTGATGGGGAAAAAATCAAATTTTTACTCATTTTAAATGAACACTCTCCCTTAATTTCGCTAAATGGTTCACCTTAGTTTTCCCTCACTTTCACGCTCTCAGATTTTCTGCCTTATAAATTTTGAAGATTACATTTGAATATAAACCAAATGAAAGATTTTACTAACAAGATTCTTTGTGCTTCTTTACTCTCATTAAAATGGCTTCGTGTCATTAGTTAACTTCAAGGGTCGGTCTCATAATCTCACAATTTGATTTCTCAGCCAGAGACCTTGGTTCATAGGCAACTATCTCGCTCTCATCTAACAACTTTAAGGGAAAAAAAAAAAAAGACTACGGATGACTATTCCATGACAATTATGGGACATTTAGCCAACACTTTTGCTCCTTTTCATGTTATCTATAATTACTGTTAATGCTGAGAAAGCAAGACTCTATGCAAACAACACACTATGCCCTGCTTCCATACTGCACGACTGAGGGTTTGTTGTGGTGTTATTTTCTTTTCCTTTTGAATATGAGGAATCAGAGCCAGTAATCAAAATTCAATTATCAAATTCAGTATGGCTCAATTTGGGTTATATATTGAAGAATAAATGAGTGATGTAACACTTTTTTTCACATTTCTGATCCTATGTGACCCATGCGCAACATTTTCCATTGATGGAACTCTCCCTAATTCCTCTTAGTTCTCCTCCTACACTTCGAAGTCCGTTTCGTTTATTGATGGTAAATTATCTACCTTATAGGTCGTCTGAGTTTCCTGTGGCTGCCATAACAAAATTCCACAAAGTAGGTTGCTTTAAAGAACAGAACTTTATTTTCTCACAGTCCAGCTTTTGCATACATGCATACGAGGAGATTAAAAATACAATGGCTTGAGTCAGGTGCACCTTAGTACTAAAGGTGACATCTTTGCTTTTTAACACTTTAAAGAGGTCTTTTGCAGCAGATTTGCCCAATGCAATACTTCCGTTTGAATTCTTGACTACTGCTTCCATCGGTGTTGATTGCGGATCCAACTAAAATGAAAGCCTCGATGACAATTTCAATCTTTTCTCCATTTATTATGATGTTACTTATTGGTCCAGTTATGAGGATTTTTGTTTTTATTCATGTTGAGAAGAAAAAGACTGAAGGCTGTAGTCTTTCATCTTCATCGGTAAATGCTTCAAGTCTTCTTCTTTTTCAGCAAGCAAGGTTGTGTCATCTGCATATTGCAGGTTGTTAATGAGTCTTCTTCCAGTCTTAATGCCATGTTCTTCTTCATATACTCTAGCTGCACGAATTATTTGCTCAGCATACAGATTGAAAAAGTATCATGAAAGAATACAATCCCACCCCGCACCTTTCCTGATTTTAAACCATTCAGTATCCCCTTGTTCTGTTATAATAACTGCCTCTTGGTCTACGTACATGTTCCACATGAACACAATTAAGTGTCTGGAATACCCATTCTTCACAATGTTATCCACAATTTGATCTGATCCACATAGTCAAATGCCTTTGCATAGTCAATAAAACAACAGGTAAACATCTTTTTGGTATATTCTGCTTTCAGCGAAGATCCATCTCACATCAACAATGGTATCCATCATTCTGCGTCCTCTTCTGAATCCAGCTTGAACTTCTGGCAGTTTCTTGTTCATTATATTGCTGCAACAGTTTTAGAATTATCTTCAGCAAAATTTTACTTGCATGTGCTATTAATGATATTGTTCAATAATTTCCACATTCTGTTGGATCACCTTTCTTTGGAATGGGCACAATTATGGATCTCCTTAAGTCAATTGTGCAGGTACCTTGCCCTCCAAATTTCTTGTCGTAGACAAGTGAGGGCCTTAAGCATTGCATCCATTTGCTGAAATTTTTATTCCCTCAATTCCTGAAGCGTTGTTTTTGACCAATGTCTTCAGTGCAGCTTGGACTTCTTCCATCAATACCATGGGTTCTTATCATGTACTCCTTCCTGAAGTGGTTGAACATCGACCGATTCTTTTGGTGCAGTGACGCTGCATATTCTTTCCCTCTTCTTTTGATGCTTCCGGGGTCATTCAAAATTTTGCCCATAGAATCCTTCAATATTGCAACTCGAGGCTTGAATTTTTTCTTCAGTTCTTTCATCTTGAGAAATGCCCAGCTTGTTCTTCCCTTTTTGTTTACTAACTCCAGTTCTTTGCATATTTCATTACAATACTTTATTTTGTCTTCTTGAAGTGCCCTTTGAAATTTTCTGTTCAGCTCTTTTACTTCATCATTTCTTCCATGACTTTAGCTACTCTGTGTTCAAGAGCAAGTTTCAGAGTCTCTTCTGATATCCATTTTGGTCTCTTCTTTCTTTCCTGTTTTTTAATGACTTTTTGTTTTCTTCATGTATGATGTCCCTTACGTCATCCCATAACTCACCTGATCTTCAGTCGTCAGTATTCAAAGTGTCAAGTTTATTCTTGAGATGGTCTCTAAATTCAGATGAGATATACTCAAAGTCATACTTTGGCTCTCAAGGACTTGTTTTAATTCTCTTCAGCTTCAACTTGAACTTGCATATGAGCAATTGATGGTCTGTTCTGCAGTCAGCCCCTGGCCTTATTCTGACATCATGATAAATGAAGAGAATATTGATGTTTTCAAGGATTTCATTTTACCTGGATCCACAATCAATGACCATGGAAGCAGCAATCAAAATAACACTGGGTAAATCTGCTGCAAAAGACTTCTTTAAAGTGTTAAAAAAAAAACAAGGATGTCACTTTGAGACTAGTGTTTGCCTGACCCAAGCCATGGTATTCTCAATCATGTCATATGCATGGGAAAGCTAGACAATGAATAAAGAAGACCGAAGAATTGATGCATTTCAACTATGGTGTTGGTGAAGAATATTGTATATACACCATAGACTGCCAGAAGAATGAACAAATCTGTCTTGGAAGAAGTACAGCCAGAATGCTTCTTAGAAGGCAGGATGGTGAGACTTCATCTTATGTACTTTTGACACGTTATCAGAAAGGACCAGTCATTAGAGAAGGACATAATTCTTGATAAAGGAGAGGGTCAGTGAAAAAGAGGAAAACCCCCAACTAGATGGATTGACACAGTGGCTGCAACAATATGCTCAAACATAGCAACAATTGTGAGGATGGCGCAGGACTGAGTAATGTTTCATTCTGTTGTCCATAACGTTGTTCCGTGTCCAAACTGACTTGAAGTCACCTAACAACAATAGAGAGATTTTGATTGTCATAACTGAGAAGAGGGGTGCTACTGGAAGCTAGTGGATAGAGGCCAAGGATGCTGCTAAACATCATACAATGCACAGCACAGCCCCCACATTAAAGGATTATCCAGTCTAAAATGTCAATAGTCCCAAAGTTGTGAAACCCTTCTATAGATGAACTATTCATACCCATTTTAAAGCCCATCCCTCGAGTAGGTTCCTTCTCCTCTTGTCTACTAAAGAATGTCACTCTTGACACAGGAAACGGGGCCAAGATGGTGGAGTGGTCAGACAATTCCGGTGGACCCTCTTATGACAAAGACCCGAAAAAAACAAGTGATTCGATTATATATGGCAATCTGGGAGCCTTGAACATCAAAGGCAGAGTTGAGGAACTAGACTGAGTGGCAGGGGGAGGGATAAACATTTCAGAAGCAGCTAGGAGTTGCCAGACCTGACATGGTGAGAGCCTGAGCCCTTCAGGCCTGAGCAGCTCATGGGCGAGCAGTGAGGCAGGCAAGCGGCGGCGCTTGGGAGGTGTATTTTCCCCACTGGGAGAGACCAAATGTCAGAGAGTCTACACAGCCACCCAGAACCAGTGAGAAGCAGCCCTCATCAAAGAAAGATAAGGACTTGCATACAGCATACCATGCGGATCAAAAACTTGCCCCTTATGGAAAACCCTCTCTCCCATTTACCTCCCCATTCCCTGCTCTGCACTGGGTCCCAGACCAGCTTCAGCAATCGCCAAGTTCCCTGAGCTAGATGTAGGATCCATAACACGCCAGAAGCCATTCTCCCTGCCTTGGAGAGTGAACAAATTAACAAATGGGAAAAAATAAGCTTCTGGCTCCCATAAGCCAGGAAGCCAGGGTAGGCACAGCTCCTTTGCCTAGGCACAGGCATAAGGCATCCACGGACTTTGAGTGTCTTTCCCCCTGCATAGACTTGTGTGGGCCCATCTCAACAGCACAGGCCCTCAATACAGCAGTACAACAGGGTATACAGCAGAACTCTAACTTCAACTGTTTCAGCTGTGAAGTGGCAGATTCTTGACATTTGACACTGCTCTGCCCATTAAGCAGGTCTTCACCTACCCACTTCAGGGGCCCGAGGACTGGTGGCTCCACGGATGCCTGCGATAGGGGCCCATGAATAAGAGGTGCCCCCAGTCCTTACAGCCAACAACATTAGCTGCTCATAGTCTGGCTGCAAAGCCCACGCACCTACACGCTCTAGGGAACAGGGATATGCCTCCCTCCTGGACACTTGTGGGAGGCCGTTGGCCCCCTGCCTAGCTCAGAGTGTGTCTTCCTGCTGCAGCCAGATGCCTGTGCCTACACCAATCACCCACACCTGTCTAGGACTGTAAGTGAGAGGCTACACCACACACTTGGTGGCTATCTACCTGGGCACCTGAGCTGAATCCATACAGGAGGAGTGGGCAGACTCCTGAGCTCACATACCTAGTAACAGATCTAACCGCCTGGTGACAGGACATTAGAGCTTCTAAGTTGCCAATAATCAAACTAGCTTAAACAAGCAGCCTACTTGGGCATATCAAAACAAAGCAAGAATAGGACACAGTAAGAAAACATAAAATAAATAAATATAATAACTTATTGATGGCTCGGAGACAACAGTCAATATCAAATCACATAAAGAGGTAATCCATGATGACGTCAGCAAGTTACCAAAATAAAGAATCTAGAAATTTTCCAGAGGAGGAAAAGTTCTTGGAATTACCGGAGGCAGAATACAAAAGATTAATACACAGAACTCTTCAGGAAATTAATAAAAATGCAGAACATGCAATAGAGGAAATTAAAAAAAATTAGAGAAGAGCATAATGACAAATTTAACAGCCTGCAAGAATCCATAGAGAGATAGCAATCAGAAATCCAGAGGGTGAACAATAAAATTTGAGAATTAGACAACTTAACAGAAAGTC